TCTATTGTCTTGTCAAAAACTTTTCTTTATTTCAAATGCTTGATCTGTTGTAGATTGTTTTTACAATCAAAATTATGTGGCAAAGATGTTTCTTCCAAACTTAATCATACAGATTCCAGTTTGGTATCAAAATTTATCCGAGATTTACTGCTACAACTTAATCAAGCTGAACCATTTGAAATCTTGTTTCATTTATCTCTTAAGAAGTTAGTATTCTTAAAGTTTGGGAAACTTATGCCACATATATATAAAGCGAATTCTTTTTTTTTCGAATAAGAATCATGAAAGTAAAATATATGACTTTGTTAAGTTATAGCACATAGGTATTGCTTCATTTAAAAACTTCGCCCAATTTTCTAACATTTATAATAGCCAAGAAATTTTTTACATCCAAATAACTGAAAACATAAACCTCTATATAGAGAAAAACACAATATAAGTTTTAACTTGGAGTTTTTTTATTTAGGTGTGGTATGAGTGAGAAGAGGTTTGTGAAGAAAATACTTTCAAGCATTCACCCACACCCTATGGGATATACTCTACCGAGATTTTCCATCATTGAAAACCTATAGAAAAGTTTAAAAGACATTGATAATTGAAGTTTTCAACCAAGTCAATATTTTCATTTCAACAGCTTTAGTAAAACTAGAAAAACTCATCATAAATCCCATAGGCCATAGTATGTTCGAAAATAACGATAAGACGTGTGAAAAATAGACTGATATTCACACCTGTATAAAACCTTAAATAAACATATGAGTTCTAAGGCTAAAAAAACATAAATCGTGAATACGGAAAATTTAGAAGTTAAATCGACACGAGGAAATTTCCTTGTTTATATGTTAAGTTTCACAATAGTATCATATGTGAACATCCAGTTTCAACTTATATTCGACATTCACAGGTATACAAACAATTAAAAAGACACTTTATTTTCATATTTATAAATTCAAACTAAAACATTCAACTTTATTAATTATCAAGTCTAATTTTTCCATCTAAGATAAACACCTGTTGATTTGTAAAGCTATGGTATATATGATGAATACAATTTAAGAGTATCTTCCTCTATTCTGGGATTTCCAGAGAACGGCTCATTAGAAAAATTTGAAACTTTCACGGCAGATAGACATAACTAAATAAAGAAAAAGCTGTCGTAGACTCAAAATTTCTAGATGCTGCCTTCTATGTAATACTGGGATTACCATAGCTCCAGTTTTCATCTCAGTTCCTCCAAGATGTTATGTTCGATCTAGTCAAACATTTTCTTCACATAGACTAGACACTGCTTGTGGTGGATACTTTATTTAGATATTCAGTCATTCGAATAAAAAAGGTCAAAATATATAAGGTATTCGAAAAAAACACGTTATTTTTTTCAATAAAACAAAATACACATCCTCCAAATAGTGTTAAGTATATGTGAAAAAAGTTGCAGTTCGATTGGACGTACCATGTCGGAGCAACAAGGGTGTTTTTGCAGCATTTGGATGAAAAAATTGTTTTGAGAAAAATACGAACTAATGTACAATTTTCGTTATGTAAATTTGATTTTTTTTCTCAAATTTTTGTTTTTTAACATTTAAAGACAGTTTTTGGCTTTTAAAACATATTCAGTAGATAGATATTACTTGAAACTATAAAATAGCCGCCAAGAAAAAAGTTTTAAGTACGAAAAATGAGGGTACATTGAAATTCTATCAAATCCATTGATTTATATTATTGAATACTTTTTGAATCTCTAAGGAATATGATACATTTTTTACACGCTTTGATGAAAATAATATATCAATATATAAAGTAAACAAAAGACGAAATGTTTCTATAATAGATTCTTTTATTTATCCGGTCGACATGATTTCTAACATTCGTTTTCATGATAGTTAATCTTCTTCCTATTACTAATGCTTCAGATGATCGCCAATCATTATTACTCATGAAAGAAATATAAATAGACTCTTTCTTTTTTATTCAATACAACTGTAGAAAGAAAGACAATATTAGTTGTCGAATTGTACGATAAGAAAATGTACAATGTCATTCTGACAGTATGTTCTAATGTCTATCTATTTATATATATATATATATGTCGGAGTGTCAAGGGCAAAGTATAGAGTAGAAATGCACTGAAAGAGAACGTAGCAGATGTTTTTATCTTCCTAATCTTTAAATCAACAACACGAAAAAAAAAAACTTACCTCTTCAGGAAGAATAGTTAAGATGTTTAAAACAATCAAATGACCTTTTTCGGGCTAGAAAGATAACAAAAAAAAAAAAACATAAATAAAAGTTATCAAACAATTACAATTAACAAACATGTTCAATTAAAAATTCGTTTTGTGATTGTGTAAATAATGTAATAATTGCTGTAATACCATTCTTCCATTTATCTGGCATCATATTTAATATTAAATGTCCTAACTAAGCACAAAAAACAACAAAACATTCTTTACTTTTTTTTTTTTTTCGCTCAATTTCTACATACAGCAACAACTAATTTAATTGTTATTTGTTTTGAATTAATTGATATATAAAAAACTAAACGTTGAATAAGTTGTTGAAATAATTGTTGAATTTGATTATCATCTAATTCGGATCTAATTCATATATATATATATATATATTTAAATAATGAATAATATTAAAAATAAAAATCTTACAAATGTTTTGAAATTTTATTACATAAAGCAACAGCACCAAAAAATTGTACACTTGGTGATTTATTTGTATTTAATAATTTCCAAGAAAAATCCCATGCTAATTGAGAATATTGTAAACATTCTAGAATACTATTTAATTGTTGTCGTTGTGGAACAGTTAATTGAGATGTTGGTGAATAAAAATCATTAATTATATGTTCTAATTGAAAGATTTATTTATTTATTTATTAGAATTTTTTTTTTTTTATTCTCTAACAAAAATAAAAACTAACCGATTTCTTCTATGGAATAATTTATTGAGGAAATATTCTTTGAATCATTTCCATTTATAATATTTGGTGAACTATTAAACGTTGTTTGAGATGCCATCAGCATGGCGATAAAAAAATAACAAAGTTAATTTTTCTTTTTCTTTTTCTTTTTCGTTCTTGACAAATAAAAGAGAATCGTTCTAGAAAAATAAATTGTTATTTGATAATAAATCGTTTTTAAATTATTCGTGTTCGATCTGTTGATAAATTCTTTATTCAACCCTTATTTGTTTTCTTTTTTTTTTTCCTTCTTTCGATTCGGTGAATCTCGCTATACGTTTATGTTCTTATGCAATCATAAATACATATATGATGTCACTAGTCCACAATAAGAGTGTTATAAAAAATTTCGTACTTATATTATTGACAATGGTATTATAATATTAAATTCAAAATTATTTTAAATGACAAAAAAAAAAAGATTTGAATAGATTTTATTCATGAAAAGTTTTTTGTTACTTTCTCTTTCATTATGTTGAGCTATTATAATCAACCATTTTACATACATAATCAAATAGCAAATATACCGAAAAAAAAACAAAAGAAAAGAAAGACTCTTATATGATAAGTGACACTTATTTCTTGTCACCTGGTTGTTCAGATATTCTCTATGATTTAATTTATAGATGTTTCTTTCTTTTTATCTGTTTTAGTTTAGATTTTAATTCGATTTCGAGTTATTGAAAATAGAACAAGTAAGAAATTACATGACTTTTTAAAAATGAAAGACACAGAATCTATTGATCTAAATTCATAAGAATATAAATCTGTAGGTCTCAATCGACTATGTAATCTTTTTTGTGAGCATAAAAAAGCGATACTTGGTGTTTCATTGAAAAATGTCAATTCAAATCTATCTATTAAGTATTTAGCATAATACCTTTCGTCTATATTATTCATATGCAAGAGGACATTAAATATTATTATTCGTAATATTAATCATCATATGCAACGTTATAAATAATCTAGATCCGCTTCAATAAACATTATGATGATAAATACTATTGTTTGTGTAAAATAGAATACGAGAAAGAGTAAACGATGAAAAAGATTTTATTTAAAAATAAAGAAAATTTCTAAGCTTTTGCTTTCTTTTTCATTTGTGGCAGTTTACTTTTATTGTTTGTCAACAATGAGAAAATTGAAGTTCTGTTGTTTTTTTATTGCCTGGAAAAAATTGTTCTTGTTTTTTTTCTTAATATTTTGATTATAAGTCAATGCAAAAACAAAAAACTTCCAACGTATTTCATAGATTACGATATGATATTAATATCATTCTATTGACAAATGATAAGTTTGAGAAAGAATATTAAATTTCTTAGCTATACTTGATTAAAACATGTCTCCTCATATGATTTTGACAAACTGCAAAAACAAAAACCAATTGCATTTAATTGAATACATTCTGTTAGATGAACGAAAGTGATGAGAAGTTTTGTTTTGAGGATTCATTTTATTTTCGTGAATTTTTGAAATGTCTCTCCCATCAACAGGTTATTGGTAAATGCTTTTGTTTGTGTTAAAGAGGCATGACTATGATTGTTATTCATTGAAAATTATTGAATAAAGACAAGATTGTTTTTTTTTATATGTACAACAAATAGGCTATGCGCTTGTCTAAAATGGACGTTACTTAATCCCGTAAAGAAATTAAAGTTCAAATACTTATTATTAAATCCTGTTTTTAAAGTTCGTTTTTTTATCCTGGATTTAACATTGGGGGTATTTCCGATGACAAAACTTGGTATTTTCTTTTTTTATTCTGTTAAAAACAATGATTGGACGGTATTTTCCAGATGTAAAAGAAAGAACCTACATTGAAGAAGCCTATGACAGAGCATGTATATGACTACAACATTAAAGATTCGACTTTTCCCATGACAGACGATGCTTAGGTAGTTACACAGTATATAAAACAGTAGCAGTCAGCGATTTTGAATCATTCAATCAGGTTTGCACAACAGTTATTATTATTTGTTTTGTAATTTTTACTAAATAAACCAATAATATTCTGTCGTATTTTTTGTAGATGTCCCAACCTTGTGCTATAGAAAATTGTAAACGTGCATCGCGCGCTTTATGTCATTGTTGTCATCAAAACCTTTGTCGAGATCATTTAAATCAACATGATGATATGTTAAATGCTAAACTAATCCCGTTTACAGACGAAATCAATCAATTGGATGATCGACTTAGACATATTGATGTCAAATATATTCTTGAACATACTCATGAACAGTTAGATCAATGGCGTCGTGAATCTTATAGAAAGATAGATGAATATATTGATGATAGAAAACGTAAACTTACTGAAAATATTAATTTCCAAATACACAATGCATCTGACGGAATAACTCGTTTAAAAGCAATAATAAGTCAACTTATTGAAAAACAAGATACTACTGTTGACGATCTTAATGCTATATCAAGAAATATACAATCTATTCGACAAGAAATCACTCAAGTAGAATATAAAATGATAGATCTTAATATAAGTCCATTAGAAATAGATCATCGACTAATACGACTAGGAGAGGAATATGTTAAACATGATTTTAATCTATCTACTTTAATGCCTCCATTTCATATAATTAATCGTTCACCAGAGAGTCATAAACCTGTTACTACTAATAATAAAGTTTTATTAATGCATCTTCAAAATCAATTATGTTTATTTAATCAAGAGCTTCAATTCATAAAAGGTATACCTTGGAATTATGCATGGATATGGGATATGTGTTGGTCATCAACACTATCACGTTTTTTCATCATAACACGCAATGAAATATTTATATTAGATGAAAATACCATGACACTTGAATGTTTACAAAAGGAAGATAACTATTCATTATGTGCATGTACATGTTCAGATATATCATTTTATGTCGCAACAAATGAGCAAAGTTCAAGTATATGTGAATTTAGTTTATTACCAACTATAAAATTAATTCGTCGATGGCAACCCACAGATTTATGTCAAACAAATGAAATGATTCAAGATATGATGTTTAATAGAGGAACATTAGCTTTTATTATTGAAAATCAAACAAGTCAGAAAAAACGTATGGAACTTCGATTTGCACAAACATTTGAACAAATATGGTGTATACAATTTGATTTAATTGATCCTTTACATAATGTATTTCGTTTATGTTCATTTAATTATAATGAATGGTTGGTTATTGATTGGAAATCATCACATATTTTTTACGTAACAAAAGATGGAGAACTTAAATCAACATATATATATGATCAAGTACCATATCGTTGTTGTCAATTTGGATCAAATATATTGGTTATATCAGCTAAAAATAGTGTTAACTTTCATAAAATATCAAATCTAAATGAATAATGAATTTATTTCAATTAGATAATAATGACATAAGCATTGATATTTTTTTATTCTAAATTCGTTTTGTTTTTATTTTATTTTTTTAAATGATAGTTGATAAATTATTTTTTTATTTTTATCAAATAAATCTCTCTAAATTTGATAATTTCATTTTGTTTTCCAACTTAGAAAATCAATAATAAAATTCATATGGATAATTGCTAATAGAAAAAAAGAAGTATCGATAATGTACACATTTATATTATGAGTAATTGATTTATAGCAACAAGAATACATGATATCATATTTCACTAGTTCCTTTGATAGATTACAAAAGAATTCCATGTGACTTTGACACTAATGAATAGCAGATCCAAGGATGATGTTTTATGTTTACAGGTTAAAGTAAATTCAAGGACAAAAAAAAAAATAATATTTTCATTAGTCATTACAAGGGAAAAGATTTTATCCCAACTTCCGTTTATGTACTGACGTAGATGTGATAGAAATGTTATATCTGATTCTTTTACATGCATCTAATAATAAACATTTTGACATATTATTTTCCTTTTTGTTTGTTGGGTTTTTTCCAACTTATTCTGATACATGTGAAGTATCCCACAATTATCATGCAAACATATTTATTTAAGTAATAATAAAATTTTAAGGGTCATGTTTGTTGATAAACAATACTGGCCTTGTTTTTATTCTTTTTGAATTCTTTAAAAAATGATAATCATACGAGTTTCTGTTTTTTTCTTTAATTCAATATTTATTTCAATGTTCTAATTAATTAACATTTATATCAGGTGGAAAAGCATAAAAAAGTATGTGTTCTAATCTCCATCCTGGTAAATCATCATCTATAATATCACCCATTCGAAGATATGATCGACGTGGTTCACTAACATCTTCTGTACCATAATTTATTCTATTCCAATATCTCCATACAGGTTTTAATAAACTTGAATTCATCGATGTTTTATATGCATAAAAAATTGTACCATCATATTTCCATTGATTATTGCCAATTGGTAATAGTGTAGAATCTATTTGTAATGTATTAGTCCAAATACCTTTTGTTTCTGAATGAAAACCATAAATTGGTATAGTATCAGGTTTTTGTCGAATATATGCTTGACAAAGAATGCTATCTAGTATCCAACCATCACCCATAGTACTACCAGCAGTATGATACCAATAACGAGTTTGTTCAGTTTTAGGATCAGTATATTTCCATTGTGCAATTTGAACTAAACTATAATGTATAGAAAAAGTGATGTTGTACATTAAAAAATATGAAATAAAAATAATTTACTATTTTTTATAAATAGGTAAAATTTCTTGTACGGGTTTTTCAGTGGATGAAAGTAGAAATTGACTATTTGTATTTTCATCAATAATTGTTTTATTCGTATCGATCGAAGATGATTCATTTTCAGAAAGATATTTTTCAATTGATTTCGATTCGATCGATGATAAATTTACAGTTAACAATATTGTTTTATTAGAAATGTATTTTGAATCCAATGATAAAGACGAATCAGAATTATTATCAATATCAATTGGAAATGGATCACCAGGTGTAGAACTGAATGCACCTGAAGTTCATATTACATATAAGATTTTACTGAAAAATATATACCTGAAATAGTGATGACAATGACAATGGGTAGAGCAAACAGAAAATAAAGATACATAGTTGTTATATGTTCTATGGATCAAGCAAATGATATAAATGATTGTATGTTTATCTCGTCATATATATATATATAAATGTACGAATGAATTTTGCGTTCGATTTTTTTTCTTTCTTTAATCGTTCAGTATGATTAAGGTACAAAACTGTTACGAACTAAGAGGATGTATGCCTATGCCCGTCGGCATGATAGTGCATTGTGTCATCTGAACATCTGTAGTCGTGCTCTTTCTTTGTGTACATCACCTCATATAGCAGAAAGAGCGAATACGACTGAGTGAATAGAAACAAAGAACAAACGGTCATACGATAGATAGAATGAGAGATAATCACAAGGTCAACACGTGAACATATAAATATAGACAAAACGATAGTTATATGAAGTGAAGCGTAACGGTCATAAAGTCGTTACAGACACAACTGATCATCACAATATTAAATAGTTTTAATAGAAGTAAACTTGTTTTTTGTTTTTATTAGAAACAAAAAAAAAAGAAAAAGAAACAACATTGATATTCAATATTCAATTGGTAATACATAAAAAAGTATTTTATCAAATGTCCATTCTGATCGACTTTCAATACCATGATTTTCTGTTTGTATAATAAGATATGATATACGTGTTTCAGTTGCATCTGTTGTACCTGGTTTTAATTTATTCCAATAACGTACAACAGGTTGAAGTTCACTTGAGTTCATTGATGTTTTAAATGCATAGAATGAAACACCATCTGGTATCCATTGATCATAACCAATAATAGGTGGTTTTGGATCTATTTGTATTGTATTTGTCCAAATAGTTCGAATTTCTGAATGAAATGCATAGACTGGTTCAGTATTTGATTCTGATTTATTATAAGCTTGAAATATAAATCCATCAAATGTCCATCCAAAACCCATACGACCACCTTCAGGTTCATACCAATAACGAGTATCTTTTGTTTGTGGATCTATATATTTCCATCGACCAATTTTAATTAAACTTTTAAATTGAAAAATAACAGAAAATATGATCATGCTGTTGAAAAAAAAATATATCTTACTTCGTTTTACTAAATGATTTTATTGATGATAAAGTTGATGATTCTTGTAATAATATTAATTTTTTATCCAAATTTTTATTTTTATCAATATCATTATCATCAGATTTGAGAAAAGATGTAGGTTTTGTACTTGATTGTGATAATTTTTTGTCAAGATTTTGTCTTTCAACATCACTCTTATGAGTGTTTATTGTTGATGTCGATTTTGTAGATGTTGATACGATATATTCTATAAAATTTTCTTCCTCATTTATAGAATCAAATGGATCAGCTAATGATTCTGAACGTAATGGAGTTTCATCATCAGTTAGATCTCTTCCTATCTCATTAATATTGATTAAATCTTCAGATGTAAGAATTTTCAATTTATGTCGACCGATTGGAAAAGGATCACCAGGATGAACACCAAAGCAACCTATGACTAAATCGGACAAACAATAAAAAAAAAATCAAAAAGAAAATTTCAATTAATTTATTTTTACTTTGGAGAATAATAGTAAGAATATTAAACAAGAGAAAATAATACATTGTTATCCTGACGATGTACGATGTTAACTAAGGCCATGTACATACTAAGAAAATTCATGTCGAATTAAGCAACTTGATTGGTTTAAAATTTAAAACAGATATAAGTCGAATTAAACAAGGCGATTTAATTTTGATACACCAATCAAATTATAGCTTGATTGAACATAACAGAACAATGATAGGTGAATGAAATTGATGTCGCTCAAAAGTTCTTTGTTTTCAGTTTTTTTTTTCACTCAAATATAGAGATTATGATTAGTGAATTAACTATTATAGTGTGCATAAGTATCAATTTAAAACAGAAATAAAACTGTCTTATTTCTCTAGTGTGTAGATAACCTTTTGTTTTTTCTTTCTTTTCATATTATTTAGTTATTTCATATCATTACGAAAGATCAAAATGATGTCAGAAAAAATATTTTTAGGAATGCATAGGAATAAACTAATACGTAATAATAAAAAACTAAAGATACAGAGTGAAAAACTCTACAATTTATTAATTATAGCTTATTTTAATTGAATCTCTTTTGTTTTTTCAAATTCTATGCGATCAATATTGGATACAACAAATGATATTATATATTGATAGACGATGAATTGCTTTTTTTGCTATTTTATTAATTAATCAATCATAGTTTTTAACTTTTTCCCGTTGCATATTATTCATAATAGCATCCTACACGTAATATACAAACACATGAAAACTAGGACTAGTTAGTAGAATGCGAAGGTTCTCAAAAACTGGAGTTGTTTAAATCATCATATAGACACGAAAATTGTTAAATCTATATAGAGAAATGTTCATTTCTTGATTTTCGAAATTGAAGATTTCAGTATATACGTATAATATTGCTGTGTATGTGGCGTTTTTAATACCAACAAGTCAGTAGTGAAAATTTCTTAGAAGTATATTTAAAGCTTTCTCATATATCTGATGATTTAACGGTTTTTGTTTCATGTAATATTTCGAAAATCGGAGTGTAGCCGGAACCACAGTCTCAATTCAGAGTAAGTTTTGAAACATCTTAACTCTGTCATTTGGTGGCCATCTGTGATTCTCAATAAACTTCATGAAATTTTTCTTCATATTATAACTTATTATTTCTAATGTTTATGTGATGTGGTGTTATCTTGATACATGTAATTATCGTTTGCCTTCAGATTGTACTTGTGCAAGAACAACTTTCAATATGATAATATTTTATTAGATTTAAATATAATGAGAACCGTAAGAATTATTGTTAGATGTACCTAATCACACTATAATTCTTTTCCGATACATAGCATTGTGGTTTATATAGTCTTGTTAGTGTGCTCATTGTCAACTTGCAATATAAACATATTCAAATGAGAATTATTTGTTTTTCTCAATAAATAGAATTCTTTTCCATCGATGAGATAAGAAAAGCAAGTTAAAAAATGATTGTATTCGACATTGAAAATTAGTCGTATAAAATTTTGAAAATAAAAGAGACACATATAAAATAAGATTTATTTGCTTGGTTGTATAACTTTTCATGCTGCATCTTGAGATAGATACTGTTATTCTTCTGTAATAAAACATAAGAAGAGATTAAAATATAAAATGCAAAGTGTAGTGATTTATTATGGGTCATCTGTTATTTAAAATACAGAAAATATTGTAGTACTATTTATGTAGATTTTTTCAACAATTCTAAATCGTTTTATTGGAACACAGTGATGGGAAAATAATGGCACTAATTTTCGGTTTTAAAAATTTTTATACTACC